TTTATTTATTTATTTGACAGAGAGACACAGCGAGAGAGGGAACACAAGCAGGGGGAGTGGGAGAGGGAGAAGCAGGCTTCCCGCCAAGCAGGAGCCCCGATGCGGGGCTCGATCCCAGGAACCTGGGATCATGACCTGAGCCGAAGGCAGACGCTTAACGACTGAGCCACCCAGGTGCCCCTATTATCCAATTTCAATTCAGTAAATATTTATTTAGCTTCAGGTGTGTGCTGGTGACTTCTAAATGATAAAAATGTCAAAGTGAACTAGGTAACATGCTTTTGGTCTCGAATAGGGATATATACTGGAACAGTCAATCGGGTCTGGTCCCCTTGCTAGACTTGAGTAGCAGAAAAGCATCGTCCTTGCTGTGGGGAGAGATAGGGAAAGGACATCCCCGGTTAAATTTCTCTCTCAGCATATCCTCTTCCACCACGCATGTATAGGATGTGGGGGGTTCTTGGAATTACGTTATTATACTCAGCCTTTGATGAGGCTCCTAAAACTCAGAGATCACAGAAAACATTGCGTTTGACAACCTGTTACAGTGCTTGCTAAAGTGTTTCAGAACTCAGAGGTATTGTACAAGTGTTGTAGTTGATACAACAACATATCCAAATTAAGAGTAGTGGGACCAGCCATCTTGTCACCCAGAAATCTGAAAAAACTGAGTAAGTCTTGGGTTGGATAGAATTAAAGGGTACTGAATCTAGGATATGGAGTGGGATCAATCTGTAGATAGTCTTTAAAAATATTTAAAATTAGGAATAGGTCTGTTTAAACAATTTTAAGGCTTAAAAAGGATCAAACTTTCTGTTCCATGAAAGAAATGGAGGTTTAGAACCAGGCAATCCTCTTTGACATTAAGATGATCGACATGTCAATTCAAGCCCTGGTTCACTCTGAGTTTTGGGGAGAGTTCCTGTGAAGAGGGTGGGTGGAAGGCAGAGGCACAAAAGGACACAGAGAAGGATGCTGAAGAGGCAAGACAGGGGCTTTTCTGTTGATCCAGAACATGGGGGCAGAGCATTGTGAACATGGGCCTGCTGGTTTCATATCATGGGTGCTTCCCAGACACCAGCCTGTTCTTATGGTGCTGGGGTAGGAGATGGTGATAAAGGGATGGCTCACAGCTAGAGGTTCCTTTCCTTAAAGCAAATAAACAAACACAACATATGCCTCCTAAAAGCCAGGCATTTCTCCTTTGGTTAGTATTCTGGGGTTTTTATTAAACACTTTAGATTTTCTGATTTATTTCCCTTCAGTGTATCTTCATCCTTTGAACATAGGATGTGGCAGATCTTGGGGGCTTTTCCCCCACCCCCACCATGTGCTGCTCAGAATGTCATCAGGTGGGTTAGTGACAGGGACACACAGCTGTTCCCAGGTGATAAAGAGGAGAGGAGATTATGTCTTTGTTTTTATTTTACTTTCTTTGGTATGTGTGGGGGCATGGTGCCAAGATCTTGCCTTTTATGTTGTATTTCTTTAGTTTCATGAAAAGTAATTTAATTTTTGTTCTGGAATGAATCCTCACTAATGTTTTTACTTTTGGCGGGTAGAGGAGATTGATTTTTTGTTTCCTGTGTGTCTGGGCAGTGAGCATCCTAGAGGCAGGGGCTTTGTGTCCTGTCTCCTGCTTCTGCCAGAGCCTGATACTTAGCAATTACTCTGTAAATACGTGTTTGGTGAGCCCGAGGGTGTGTGAATGCCCAAAGTACAGGCATGGCACTGCTGACCAAAGAGGCAGCAAAATGGGTATTTTTCAGCCCAGTTCCTTCCCGGGATGGTTTTATATAGGTTAATCTTTTTGCATATAAAAGCATTTCCCATATCTAAAATTGATGCAGCCCTTCCAAAACTTCAGTGACTCCTGTCCCCAAACTCCCTGTTAGTGATTGACAGTGATGGTCCTGCATAGAGCTGGCTGCCCCCACAGCCTGTAGAAGACCCAGGGCTTGCCCTTGGCAATGACTACTCCTTTATGAAGAGGAATTCACGTAGTATACCATTTACCCATTTAAAGTATACAATTCAGTGGATTTTAGTGTATTCATAGACTTATGCACCCATTATCACAACCAATTTTAGAACATTTTCGTCACCCCAGAAGAAAACTTGTACTCATTAGCCATCATTACCTAATTTCTGTCTCCCCCTTACTCTTGGGCAGCCACTAATCTCCTTCCTGTCTGTATAGATTTGCCTATTCTGGACAGGTCCAGTAAATGGAATCATACAAAATGTGGTTCTTTGTAACTGGCTTCTTTCACTTAGCGTCAGGTTTTCAAGGTTCATCCATGTTGTAGTATGAATCAGTATTTTGTTCTTTTTTATGGCTGAGTAATATTCTGCTGTATACCGTATTTTTCTATCCATTTCTTCGTTAATGGACACTTGGTTTGTTTCCACTTTTAGGCTATCCTGAGTAATGTTGCTATGCACATTTGTATACTAGCTGAGGATTTATTTTTATATTTTCACTTTATCACTTTGGACTGACACAAGTACCAGTACACAGTTTTAACTCCTTTTGGAATCCAAAAACATATGACAGTAGAAATCCATGGAGCACACATCATGTAGCAGAACAGACTGAAACATGCATATTCATCATTTCCATTATGATGGTGTGATTGGCTAAAACAATGCAAAAATCTGAACCTATGTAAATTTAGCCTAATTCTTGCATTTGTGGGTATTTACTCCATGCTAGTCATTGGACTAGGTAATGAGGATATAATGGACAGGGTCTGTACTCTCAAAGTGCTTCTGTCCAGTGTCTCTGAGGAGTGGGAGGGTGGCCATGGGGTGTGTACAAGGGAATCCAGGATGTGAGACAACATGGTGCCCTCCGCTTGAGGGTGCACTGGGCACCATTAGAGCTCCAGAGAACCCAAAATAGACTTAAGGTAGGATGGTAGGGAGGTCAGGGAAGCTTCTAGAAGGAAGTTCACAACCAGGCTGGGATCTAAAGGAGGAGTGGATGTAGATAAGAGAAGGGAGGGTGGAAAGGAGGAGGAGGAGGGGGAGAGAGAGTTCTTAAGTAGAAAGCTCAGCGTGTTGTATGCGTCATGTGCTCTGGAGTTGAAAGTAAGGTTCAAGGTGAGGTGTGGTGGGAAATGAGGATGAAAAGAGCAGAGGGAGGCCTGGTACCCTTGAGAGCTGCACCAGATGGTTTGGACTCGGGCCCAAGAGCTGGGAAGGGAGCCACGTGAGCAGGTCTGCATTTTGGCCACGGCAGGTGGGGGGGTGGTACACGGGGCCAACGGTGGTGTTATTTCCCCTGCAGTGGGAGAACAGGTTACCTGCTGTGGGGTTCGGTGGGAGTTTTGAGGATGTTGGGTGGTGGCCAGGAAGAGTCACTGTGGAGAACGAGGTGAGCAGGTGGGTTAGAGAAGCAGTTGTGGGCTCTTGTAAGAAGCTGACTATTTTTGGGCGCCTGGGTGGCTCAGTTGGTTAAGCGACTGCCTTCGGCTCAGGTCATGGTCCTGGAGTCCCGGGATCGAGTCCCACATCGGGCTCCCTGCTCGGCAGGGAGTCTGCTTCTCCCTCTGCCCTCTTCCTTCTCATGCTCTCTGTCTCTCATTCTCTCTCTCTCAAATAAATAAATAGAATCTTAAAAAAAAAAAAAAATCTGACTATTTTTAAGTCTGCGTCATCAGACATTGCGGAGGGACATGCCCCCAGGGATGTGGTGAAACACGACACTTGCATAATTGTGCTTCAGGATGTCCCTTGCCTCATCTGAACTGTACTGAACTGACTTAACTGAACTGCAAATGCCAATAAAAATAGAGAACAAAAGTTGCCCAGATGGGCAGTGGATGTGGATGACGGTGTGTCGGTCCTCGTGATCATTATAGCCCACAGCCGGCAGCCCCCCTGAGGATTTCACAGAGTTGCCCTTTATACTTACTTTGAAACGGAAAGCCTAGTAGAGAAGCTGATTATTTCCCTGCTTCCAGCATTGAAGGAATTTGGATTGGTGGTGGGGGGTGGGGGCAAGAAGATCTACTGGAGCTGTTCATTTACAAATATTGGGAGGCTACAGTATCTCTGATCCTAGAGTCCGGGGAATTAAACACAGAGCAGGGCCGGGCAGGATAAGGGAAGCAGTCTCCCTCCTACAGCGGTTTTGGGAACTTCGGGAGACATGTGCCTGCAAGCTTTGCTCAATGAGGAGCTGGGCTGGAAGAGCTAGGAAACTGGTCTGGGGGCAGAGAGCTAGAGGTGGTCTTACTGCCCCAGCAAGGTGCCACCAGAGGTGTGATGGCCCGGGCCTGGCCGCAGGTCCAGTCAGGCTGTCTGCACGTGGCACACACGAGGGGGGGCCCCGGGCAGGCTGCATGGCAGTGGTCCTTAGTTTATGCTTGTTAAACTCCCCTTAGATGAGGGGCCCTCCTGGCGGCTGAGGGTAGAATTGATCGCACTTTCTGACCATCTCTGTATGGGTGTTTGTTGCCGCAGCTGAGAAGCAGCAGGTAATGGCCTCAGGCCACTGGATAGTTTTACTGCTAGGACAGGCCTCAGCTGTGGGCCGGGCGGTGTTCTGAGAGACCAGTTCGCAGGCCCGCGTTCAGCCAGGCTTGGCGACGGGGCTGGCCCTTGAGGGAAGGACATCACGGGCCGGGGATTTCACCACACATGCAGATGTCAGAACAACCCAGATCCATTTGGCCCCCCTCCTGGAGAACGGAGCCATGCTTACCGGCTGGGCACCTGACTTCCATTTCCTTCCCTCCGAGCGGTGACCCGTGGCTGTTGTTCTTTGTCCAGGTATGTACCCTTTAGCTGCGGCAACCCCGGAGGCTGAGAGCAGCCGGAAGCTGACCCACTTGCTGAACGCAGTGACCGACGCTCTGGTCTGGGTGATTGCCGAGAGCGGGATTCCCTCCCAGCAGCGGCCCGTGCGCCTGGCTAACCTCCTGATGCTCCTTTCTCATGTCAGACACGCCAGGTACAATCCCGGGGGGGGGGCCGCTCCGCTGGATGTGTGTGGGGGGGCGTGCGGGGTGCACGTGCCCTGCGAAGGCCGAAGTGCTTTGGGGAAAGTGTTTGCAAGTTTGAGAGTGATAAGGTAGAATTTTTACCTCTAAAGGAGAATAAACCCTGAAAGGGAACGGGGTGGGGGGGGTTCTTCATCAGTGCATGCACCTGTGGCCAAAGATCAGCATAGTGGGCACTGAATGGATGTCATGTGCCATCGTATAGGATTTTTATGGCATTCCTCATCTGTTTTTTAGTTGCTGGGGTTTGGGCTTGTTTATGGAATTCTAAAAGGGGCCGTTTCTCCCCTCATGTGAATGGCCACCCCTCCTTGCCCCGCCAACCACTCTGAGGTCATTTTCTTGAGGAGGCTAAACTCAGCTTCTCTAGATCAACTCCTGAGGCTAGTGATCTGGGGACGTACACAAAGCCTGCCCCAGGAGTGGGTCCTTTCTTGCGATAGCATCAGGACGTTAGGAATGAGACCTGAGAGAACCGGGGAGGCCCACAGGTTTTGGCAGGTAGGGCTGTGAGTAGTGTATTCAGGGACCGTCAGTCGTGTGCGCTGATGAAGGGGGCTGGGTGTAGCACGACAGCTCTGTGCTGGGATAGAGATGCTCGGTGCTTGATGGCTCCCAGGATGAGGGTGGCCCTGCCCTGGGGTTGGCAGAGGGGAGTGAGGATGGAAAGTAATTGCTACCCAAGGAGGAGGAAAGTCTGGAGGCTGTGGGGGACAGTATTCACCTCAGGAATTATAACAAGGAGGAGGAAACGAAAATAGCCTCTGCCTTGTTTCCTCCTGAATGATTATTGACACACAACCATTTGCAGAACAGATTCAGTCCACTCTCATTAGTCACAGAGTCTGTATTTCCAAATTTGACTACCTTTTTTTTTTTTTTAAGATTTTTATTTATTTACTTGGCAGAGAGAGAGCACAAGCAGGGGGAGTGGCAGAGGGAGAGGGAGAAGCAGACTCCCCGCTGAGCAGGGAGCCTGATGTGGGGCTCGATCCCAGGAACCTGAGATCATGACCTGAGCCGAAGGCAGACACTTAACCGACTGAGTCACCAGGTGCCCCACAAATCTGACTACTTATAAAAACTTATTTGTACCCCCTGGATCCATACTTAGTGGCTTTTCTGTGGTCCTTCAAGGACAGGCTCAGGGTGGCAAAAAATTTGAGTTGCCACACTTACATTCCCAACTGAGGTCAAGCGAGGGGACACTTGTGTTCTTGTTTCGGCTCTCATACTATAAAGAAATGCCCTTTGTGTGGTCTAGTTAGTGCCATGTTTTGCATTTTTGCGCTTTTTGTTGGCGAGTTCGCTGTCTATAAATGGCCCCCAAGCATAGTGCTGAATAAAGTGCTGTCAGTGTTCCTAAGAGCAAGCAGGCTGTGATGTGCCTTATGGAGAAAATATGCGTGTCGGGTTAGCTTTGTTCATGCGTGAGCTGCGCTAACATCGGCTGTGAGTTAAATGTTAATGAAGCAACAATTTATGTTAAATAAGGTGTCTTTAAACAAAAACACAGGTACACGAAGGTTATGTATTAACTGGATGATGAAAATGTGACCAGAGCCTCTCGGGAACCTAACCCTGCTTTTCCCCCAGAAGCAACGTATTTGCTAATTCAGTGTTGGCAGCGACTTTGTAGAACACAACTACTGTGCACAATGAGAATTAACTGCACTCTGCCAGGTGCTGTCGGGCCACTGTGGGTGGGTGATGGGACACTAAGGTGCTTGCTTGCCCTTAAGTGTAGATGACCGAAGGAGCCAGACGCAAGAACCCTAGAAGAAATGTCTGGGGCAAGGCCAGGGGGTGGACGGTAGACTGGCTTTATTGGGGAGAGTTGGAGAAGATTTTAGGGTTCCCATGGCTGCCTCCCAGGAAGGACTCTCGGCATCTTTTTGTCCCCATAGTAACAAGGGCATGGAACACCTGCTTAACATGAAATGCAAGAACGTGGTCCCAGTCTACGACCTGCTGCTGGAGATGCTGAATGCACACACGCTTCGCGGGTACAAGTCCTCGCTCACCGGGGCCGAGTGCAGCCCAGCAGAGGAGAGTAAGCACAGGGAGGGCTCCCAGAAGCCCCTGTCTCAGTGATGCCCAGTCCAAGGCGAAGAGGCCACAGAGGAGGTCAGAGGCTGAAGTGTGAACTCCAGTGCAAACCGTGAGCTCCATCCGGGAGTGGGCAGGCTTCACCGTCTTGCTCGTGTGTGGTCCCTCATTTGGTTATGGCAGGCCCAGTCGAGTACCGTCCTTCGCCCGACCTCCCCACTTGCCAAGAGTCAGGGTGAGAAAGCTGCAGTGTTCCTTGTTACCAGGGGGCATGTTCGAATGTGGACTTTACCTCTTACTCGGCCTCATAGGATCTCAGTGTGGTCCCTTTCTTTCTTTCCATCTCCCTTCCACCCCTCTGGAAAACATGTTAAAGGTTTGGGAATGAATGGTGGAAATCCGCTGTGGAAGGTTTGTAAAGTAGAGAGGGAAGAGGATGGGGCCCTTATAGGAAGTGGACTAACCTTTATTGTGCAACGTAACCTGCCCTCAGATAGACCTCCATTTGCTCTCTTCAGGGCCACTTGATGGTAGGATGGAAAACCATGACAACGAACGAACTAGTTCCACACACCTACCTCACAGGCCTGTGAGGACTGAGGTCATGTATCGCTCTTACTGTTGAAGGCCAGAGGGATTGTGATCTGGGGAGCCAGGGGTCAGGCTGGGAGGTGAGCCATGCCCTTCCCCCAGACCTTGCTGCCATCTCCATAGAGGTTCATTCCTCTTGATTTGCATTCATAGAGCCTGCTGATTATTTGGGGGTGCATTTATGTTTGTGATCACTTTTATGGAGGATTGTGGGGATTTAAATCTCTCTGCCCCTTCCTTAAAACTCTCTTGTCCCACAGAGCCCAGCCCAGTGTGTGCTGGAGAAAGGCCCAGCGTTTGCAGGAACGGGTTTCTCCTGTGGGTTTGGGTCACAGCCACGTTGCTTCCCTGGGGCAGCCAGGGAACCACCCGCCACATCAGCCATCCACGGACAGGGATACGTCGGGCTGTATGTGCAAGGCATGCTGTTCCATGGAAAGATGAAGGGCTACTGACACACCTGTGTGTCAGGTTCAGGGCCAGACTGTGTAGACTTGGTGAGCATATCACCTGAGCAAGACCTGGTTTGTGAACCCTACTTAAAAAAAAAAAAAAAAAAGATTTAGAGATATTTATAGCAAGAAAGAATTCTTTTACACCCTCGGGCTCTTTTAAACTATTTTCTTATCAGAACATTTATATGGCGAGCTGGGTGAAATAGAAACTTCGTAGAAGAATATTTGTCCCTATTCCAAGTGGAACATAAATAGGACAAGATGATAAAGCACCTCTGGAATTACAATTTTAACTCACTTTTAAAAAATTGAAATCTTCAGGAATATAGTGAATGCATAAATGAGTTACATCTATACCTTGGCAGTGAGCAGTTAAACAATCATGTTTGATTTTTGTGATGATGATTTAAAAAATTACCTTGTGATAGATTAAACTCATTCTCTTTTAGAAAATGGGTTTACTTTGGCTAGCACATTCGGTATTTACTAAGTCATCAGGAAGATTAAATTCGATGGTTTCTGCTAGGGAGTCCTTGAATAATTCTTAATTTTGATATTGGTGCAGTTTTACTGAAGGTTGAGCGGAGCCATTTCAGAAACACTCAGACACAGACCTGGAGAGCACACGTTGTCTGTATTCTGAGGTGGTCAGAAATCATTCCTAGTGGCTCAGTGTGGCGGCCTAGGTGAGATTCGGTGCAGAACACAGGAGTTGTATTTTACAGGAACCAGGGAACATCCAGAAGGTCAATTTCCTTTCTTTCTGGCCAGTCTAGAGCCCGTCCCCCCGCCCCAAACAGAAGATACAAGGCTGGAGAACAGGAAGTGGGAGGCAAAGGAGGCAGTCTTGACCAATTATTTGCTGATGAAATTCTCTTCACTGTACTTAGAAAGGAGACTACCGGAGTAAAAAACAAAACCAGAATGAAGTCTAAGCCATTGCTACAGTAGAATGTAGTGACTGGCAGTATTCTAGGTTAGATTTTGATGTCCAAGGTAGAAACCAGAGTGGTCTCAGGTGTCGAAGCAGCTTTCTGCGCCAAATCTCGTGCTTGCCTGGATTGTGAGCTTGTGAACTCTTCCAGGGCCCAGTGCTCATTTCCTAGTTATTCCTGTATGCTTCTTGAGGCTGCTTGCTTCCCTGCATTTGGACTTACCCCACGAGGGGGCTGTAATACATTTCTTCTTGGCTCAGACTGCCATAGGGGTATGCTGGGGGCCGGGGGGCGGGATAGAGGTTAGTCCAGCCCCGGGGCACCTCCTTGGGGCAAGGCTGTCTCTTAGAACTGGGGTCTGGGCCAAGTGGGCAGTTGAGATAACATGGTTGCTCTGTAGCTACAAGGTGTTCTTCCTTTTGTTTTGAATATTCTAGGGCCCTTTCCCCCTCGCAGATGGGAGTGTTTTGAATCTCTGGGCCCATCTGTTCCAAACGTGTCCTCTAAAGCTGACACTAATGTGTAGTCAGTCTGCTGTTTTTTTTTTTAAGATTTTATTCATTTATTTGACACAGAGAGAGACAGCGAGAGAGGGAACACAAGCAGGGGGAGTGGGAGAGGGAGAAGCAGGCCTCCCGCCAAGCAGGGAGCCCGATGCGGGGCTCGATCCCAGGACCCTGGGATCATGACCTGAGCCGAAGGCAGACGCTTAACGACTGAGCCACCCAGGCGCCCCAGTCTGCTGTTTTTATATGTTTTTCGTAAACCCTCAATATCCATTTTAAAGATTGTTTCTCGGGCGCCTGGGTGGCTCAGTTGGTTAAGCGACTGCCTTCGGCTCAGGTCATGATCCTGGAGTCCCAGGATCGAGTCCCGCATCGGGCTCCCTGCTCGGCAGGGAGTCTGCTTCTCCCTCTGACCCTCCTCCCTCTCATGCTCTCTGTCTCTCATTCTCTCTCTCTCAAATAAATAAATAAAAATAAAATCTTTAAAAAAAAATTGTTTCTCTTTAACAGTGCTTTCTTCTAAATGTTTGCTTTTTGGGGGGTATCCACACCCCATCCAAGTGATCTATGGACAACTTAGAATTCTGCCGTAGCTTAGCAAGGACTTCATTGTTTTCAAGATCAGTTTTTAAAAGGAATGAACTAGGGGAAATAGGACCTACCAACTATAAACAGGAAATAGTTTGAGTAGGGGGGGGACCCCACCCAACTACATTTTATGTATTATGGAAAAGTGAGCCTTAGCTTTGCTTCAGACTCGTGTGGCAAGATTCCTTTCCTCCATTTTGATCTGCAAGTTATTGTTTAATGTGAGAAACTTATTTGTGGGAGATAAATGAGATTAGGGCTTAATTCCAAAAACATGAGTGTCTCATATGGGATCGTGTGGACACATCTTAATGAAATAATTAACACGGAATATTCTTAACACAGAGAGCATTAGAACAGAGTGTGCACTCGGATTCTTGGGAGGGTGTTGGCAATCCCTGAAGAGGACCGGTGTGGGCGAGCCTGGGGTGTCCTAACTGCACCCTCTCCCCTCCCCCCAGCCCCTCTGTGTGGCCTCAGGCCTGTCCCTTGCACACTGTCCCCTGGGACCAACTACAGAGGATTCGACCCTAAAATAATTTTGAAGAGATTTTTCTTAAAAAATTGAGGTGGGAACTTAAATCTGGAGGGTCTTAACTGTATTAAAAACAAAACAAGGCAGGGCGCCTGGGTGGCTCAGTTGGTTAAGCGACTGCCTTCGGCTCAGGTCATGATCCTGGAGTCCCTGGATCGAGTCCCGCATCGGGCTCCCTGCTCGGCAGGGAGTCTCCTTTGCCCTCTGACCCTATCCCCTCTCATGTGTTCTCTCTCATTCTCTCTCGAAAAAAAAAAAAACAAAAAACAAGGCAAAAATCAACACAAGCTCTGCAGTGAGATAGTCTCTACCTGCATTATTTCACCTGCCAACTCGGCTAGCAGGACAATTATTCTAGATTTCAGTAAAAAGAAATCAGTTACCAATTCTTGGCAGAGCTACTTATATATTCATATATATAAGCTAGGTTGAAGCAATTCTAGAATTTTCCTGGTGGTTATTTAAATCTGCTAAGGAGCTTGCACATTCAGACAGCTTTTCAAATCCAAGGTGAACCTTCAGCGTTGAGGTCTATTTTGAAACAAAACTTTTTTTTTTATTAAATAAGATTTGACACATTTCTTTAAGCTGCTAGAAACCTTTTAGAAAACATAATAAAGACTATGTGAGGGAAATGATAAAAATACATCATTTAGCACCTAAAAATAGTATCTGTGGAACACTTACCGTGTGCCAGACACAGTTCTCAAGGCCTCATACTTTCACATTTAATAATAATTACTGCAATCCTAATTTTCTGGTTGTGGAAACTAGAGAGTATAAGCAAACTAGCCCAGGGTCCCACAGGGAAGCGAGTGACAGAGCCGAGCAGAAGCTTAAGTTCCAGTGCTGAAGGTGATCATGCAGCTTAGTTTAACACAACACTAAAAAGATACTATTTTTTAAAAGATTTTATTTATTTATTGGACAGAGCATGAGTAGGGGGAACTGCAGGCAGAGGGAGAGGAAGAAGCAGGCCCCTCACTGAGCAGGGAGCCCGTTGCGGGGCTCGATCCCAGGACCCTGGGATCATGACCTGAGCTGAAGGCAGATGCTTAACCAACTGAGTCACCCACGCGCCCCTAAAAAGATGTTTTTCGACCACAGAATGCACGCATCAATTGCAATCTGACACGCACGGCCTTTCTGGCTTAAGTGGGGTCCCTCCCAATTTCCACAACACTGTAGATTCAGTGACAGCTTGTAAACCTGACGCAGAAGTTCAGTCTCATCTCGTATACATGTGTAAATTAAAGCCCAGAGGGGGAAACTGACCTGCTCGAGGTCATAAAACTACTTCTGGCCAAAGTCGGACAGGAAGTTAGGTCTTCTGCCGCCTGGCTGCTGCAGGACTTGCCTCCCTGAGTCTGCTGCTGGAGCTGAGTCTCCGTGCCTAACAGACATTCAAGTTACGGTTGCCTTCTGCTGACCGTGTAGAGCCTATCTTTTCAGCTGAGACGGGGGTCTGCATGAAATGTTATAGAACAGGCGGAAAAAACAGTGAGATCGTTCCTGTCCTCCCATCCTGGGCTCATAAGCTAGGGAGTGGCACCCTGGTCGTCATCTTCTATCTGCTGTTGCTTTTCCCAAATGTGTGGAAGTGGAGTACGTTCCTTGGAAACTTCCCCGTGTAAAATGCTCACACCTTTTAGGTACTGATGGTTCCCTGTGGAGTTTGGTATACAATAGTGTGAAACACATGCCCTTGATTCTTTACAGCTCTCAAAGTTGCTGGAATTTCGGCTCCAGTGGCAGCTCGAAGATGTGCATTGTCTGCGATATGTGATCTTCTTCTAACCCTTCTGTTGTTTTGGAGTCAAGGATCCTTTTTTTTTTTTTTTTGAGTTCCAAGGATCATATTCACTTGTGAGGCCAGTGGGTGTTAGGTGCTGGGGGGTTTCCTTTATGGGAAGGGCAACGGTTGGCTAACTCTAGCCCACAGCAGCTCCTGCTAACTGCAGTCTTCGCTGCTCTGTTTGTGCTTCTGTGTTGGGTGTCTCCATGCCACAGCTCGTGGTTCTGTAAGTGATGATTCAGTGGTCCTGTGTACCTCAGAGCCTGCTGGCGGCTCTACCTTGTTTTTTCAGGTGAATGCTTTGTACCACTAAGCAGGCTTGTGCATTTGGGTCTTTACAAATGAATGTTTGCTGTTGTGCGAAAGCAGGTTTTGAGGTCTGCTTTCCATCCCTCCAGGTACTGCTTTTCCTCTGCTGTGTCCTCTTAATATTTATGGAACTGTTGTGGAGAGAAGTTTAATGTGACGTAAGCGAAATAAAGTGTTTTTCATAACTGTGGTTTAAAAAATGTATTTGTTGGGAATATAAGAACTTGCAATAACTAGGCTAAGTAGTCAGTGTTCCCATTATATTCTGAATTCTATTCTATTTTAGGTATGCAGCACCCTTTTAAGAATTTGATGAAAACCATGAACACTCTTCCTGGAAAAAGGTACATAAACACAAATGCTTGCCTATAATTCAAGAGGGTTAGGAGGGTTAGGAATCTCGGTCTTAAGCTGTCAAACCTTTTTTTTTTTTTTT